GGGGGGGGGGCTGCGCTCCGGCCTTGTCTCTCCAAGAGCGGACGAAGGGCTGGTACTTACAGACACTCATTAACGTGCCCTTTGTTCATTACAGTCACTGCCATTGACAGCGTCCCTCATTAACTCACCTTCTCTGGTTAAGACAGGCGCTGGCTGCACCTTCCACAGACAGTCAGCAAGGACAGGGCGCCTTCTCAGGCCAGCAGGGTCAGCGTGTAGCACTTTCGTCTCGGCGCTCAAACCTGCGTAAAACACCACCTGGACTCCGGTTGGGGGGGGACGGGGAGCGGGCTCTGGTACCGGTCTGCCCACACTGCCATGTGCCCGGTATCTCAGAATAGGCCACTGTGTGACGCCCCCCCCCCCCCCAATCCGACACCCAGCCAAGGCTTTCGGAGAAACCAGGCGTGTAAGGAAGTGTTACGGGGGGCAGTGACGGCGCTGTGAAGGCAGACGGGCTCAGCATGCAAATTATACAAGCCCTAATAACTTCGTTATACAAGCCGAGAGGGGGGCGGGGCTTGGGCCGGGAGGGGGTGGGTGACCTAGTCCGTTTGCTCTAGAATCTTCTAGTTGAAAGGCCTGTTGAAGATGATTTTTCTTCAAAGCATGTGACGCTTTCTTTTATGTGCTGCTGTCTCTTTCGGGAATGTTCCAGATACGCAATAACATATACAGTCTGGGAATGGGGAGGGGGGGGGATGCTGGGCTCTGTTGCTTGGGAAGTCAGTACATTCTCTGCTGTGGGCCGTGAATGGGGAGGGGGGGGGGGGTTTAGGGGATATCGGCAGGGATCATGGGTGACGTTGGGCCGTATTGGTCAACGGCAAGGATTGCTGACTAGAAGTGTGGGATCACTGCCGTCCTTTTATGGGTCTCGGACCCGTCTGACCTCTGACTTTTCTGTCACCCGCACGCCGTGGGTACGCAAAGCCGACAGTGTGGCTCCTTGGGGTGCGATGCCCGCGGCGGTGGCGGCTGCTTGACACCGGCAGCGGTGCGGCGGGGAAGCGAGTGCCGTCTTTGTTCCGCCTTCCTCTGCTACATTCAGCGGCTCCCCTCCGCGGTGTTTGGTGTGTACTAAGCTTTGACAGCCCCTCCCCCCCGACTGCTGTGGCTGATTTTTTTTTTTTCCCTCCCTTCCCTTCCCTTCCCTTCCCTCCTCTGTCCTTGGCCTTTTTTTCTGGGGTGTTATGTAATGGTGTGGGTAGAGGCAGTGCAGCAGGGTGAACGACGCACGAGCAGTCAGTGCAAGGAAGACCCGTGCGGCGTAAATGCAACAAGCACACAACACGCAGTAAACGGCACGCAGAAATGTGGCAGCGTCGTTCGTGTGTATGTGTGTGTGTGCGTGCGTGCGAGAGTGCTCCACAGTTCATCATGACTCTCTCGTACAGTAGACCCCGTCTCCTTGTCTTTCTTGTTCCTCGGCCTCCCTGTATCACAAGAATCTGACACCTGGTTCAGAAGAAAATAATAGGACAGTTTTTTTTTTTTAATAATTCCATATAATGCCAGCCTCCTGGTCTGTGCAGAAATATATTTGTATTCCAAGACAGTCGCTGCGTGTGGTCGTGCTCCTGTCCCGAGGTCACATCACACCTCTTAATGACTAATTGGTGTTGTCTCTCCCCCCGGAAGACCACAGTAAGCAGAGTGCTTCTCTCCGACGGCTCCTCGAGGCTGACGTTCGGGTCTGATTGGAGCGACTGCTTGACTGATGGAGGCGCAAGGTTTGGCCTCAGGGAGGAGTCATATTTTTCAAGGTCTCATTTGAAGAGCCGGAGAGTCATGGACCTTTTGGGCAGAGGGGTAGGGCTGAGGTCACTTACCTGAAGTGTGTGGTCTGGGATGTGCAAAGGCATGACATATTTGGTCAGCATCCACATCAAAGAAATCACTTTCTGATCAGTCACACCCCCCCCAAAAAATAAATTCACACCTGGAGACGATGACCTGAATCTTTGCTACAGGGCACCTGTATGTTCATTTCATTAGATTATGTGATGGTCCTGGTGTTTATAAATCTACTGGTTATACATTTCTCAATTACCAAAGATTGTAATTAATTATAAACTATTCAGTAACAATTGTAATTCACCCCAGGTCTGCTGTTGATTCTGTGTTTGTCCCGCCAGGATGTGTCTCATCCCACAGCTGCCTGCTGGGCTCAAGCTAAGGGAGTGTGTGTAAAAACACGAGCATGTGTAAACGGGAGGGGGGGGGGGGGGCTGTAGCCTCACTTTCAGTCAAACTTCGTTTCCCATCAGTGGATGGAAGCACAGTCACACAGTGGCAGAGTGTGAAATTCAGGGGGCAGCGACATTCCTGGTGGGAATATAATGTCACCTTCCACTATATTTATTGTCCCAGTGTTGCACTTTTGCCACGAGCCCTAAAGCCTCCCACCTGCTTGGTGGGCTGGGCTGTGAAGAGGCAGCTCAGAGCAGGAGGCAGAGACGGCAGCGAGAGAGCGGCTCCGGAGCGCGGCGGATGGCAAGCGGCTACGGCGTCGACTCCCACGGGCTCTGAACTCACGCCACCTCGGGTGCCGACAACTGCTGGGGTGCTGAGCGAGAAGCACGACCCGGGGAGGGGGGCAGTCAGAGAGCTGGGGCAGGGGGTCTCCTGCCTTCTGGCTGTAAGTGGATGAAGAGGGCTGCAGGAGCGGGAAGGAAGACGTGCGGCAAGGGGAAAACTTTAGGGGGGTCGTCCAGCAAGCTAGCGGGAGCCCGGGGGGCTGAGTGACACACCAGCACGCCGATGAGGAACACCCCCCAGCCAGGCTCCAGCCCAGGGTGAGTGCTCACTCCATGGGGGGGCGATGAATGGGGTCCACGTCCTTCAGCTGGCTGTCTGTTGGCCCCCAGCGCGTCTCGGAGCCCCCGCACGGCTGCTCTGACAGCCCGCCTCAGTGTGCGTTTGATCTCCTTACGCTTGCCTGGGTTGACACTTCTAAGTGTACTGGGAGACGCTGTATGCTCTGTGTCTGTCGTTCACACTGATCCTTCAGATACGTGGTGGTGCTGCTCTCCCCCATCTCTTTCCCTCCATTTCTCCCCCCATTTATCTCTCTCTGTCTCTCTCTCTCTGTTGAGCCTCACAGTAACCATATTGTAGCTGGAACCCTGGGGCGATGTGCGTGTATGTGTTTGTGTCTGCGTGTGGGGGGACGCAGATGGAGTACCTTGATCCTGGGCCCCCGGTTCTGTCAGTGGGTACTCCCCCCCCCCCCCCGCCGTGTTTACCTTTCATTCCTGAGGGCTGTGCGGCTCCGCTGTCTTCCTCATTCCGTTATCTTCCTCATTCCGTTATCTTCCTCATTCCACTGTCATGCGTCCGCTGAAGCTGGTCCGCGGCCCCCCTGACTCTTTGCTCAGTCACCCCCCCTTGTCCTTCCTGCCTCGGTTTTTATCTTTCGGTTCTCGCTGCAGCCCGTTTGAAATCTCAGCTCTGTCTGTCCCTGATGTTTTTGTGAGGCACGAAGATCAGAGAGAGTTGAGGAAAGAGGATTTATGAGGGCACATCCTCTTATTCCTTTAGCATCACCGTTCCCTAGGGGGCGCCAGATGGCTCTTCCCCGACTGACCTTAGTGCTGTATTTACAGAAAGACTATTGGCTGGGAAACTGCTACTCTTTGGAAATTAAGCCTGGGGCAAAATGGAAACAGAAGACAGAACGGTTAATGGTTAGTGTCAGGAGGATGATGTACTCAGAGCTGAATTCTCGGGCTGATTTGTGCTGTGGGATTGACAGGGGGCTGGAGCTGCTGTGGTGCAAATTGGGGCCGGCAAAGGACCCCCCCCCCAGACTCCAAGGGTGGAAACAGGGCAAGGCGGGGGATGTATGAGCTGCTGGCTGTACATCAGGACGCTCTGCGGGGGCAATGCTCAGCTGTGATTTTCCACTGTGTGTGGGGTTTTGGGGGTGAGGTGTTACTGACCAGCTCCCTGCCTGGCGTTTATCCCACTGGTCTGACCCACGAAATGCACCCCATCGTCCCGTCCCAGTACGTAAGCCTAGAGAGATACGCTTCTCCTGCTGGTTTGGATTTTTTCTAGCTGGTTCTTCTCCAGTCCTCCTCCCACATGACCCTGGAAGTGGACCTGCCACCTGGGATTAGGGGTCCTATGGAGTTGGCGTTGGGGCATTGGGGCGCCCTAAATAATACCTTTGAACTTAGGATCTCTTACGTTACACCTCTCCCCCTTGTGACCGGCCCCCATGTCTGTGCTTCAGCCGTCTCATTAATAATGAAATTTGGTTAACGATCAACTAGTCAAACAAGCAGCTGGGTGCTTGTACTACTCCGCTACACCAGGAGGGGGATTGAGATGGGGTGTTTGATTACTGTCACATGACCTGCCGCGAGTCGAGACCCTTGAAAAGGTTTTGAATATTTAATGGGTGCTGGAAATAGACAGCCTGTTCGCAGACCACCTCCCAGCTGGCCTGGCTGGCTGTTCCAGTTACACAGACCTCCCCTGACCTCCACGCCACTGGCGGTCCCTTGGGTGAATTTAGGTTTGGAATTGGGTGATTACTGGTTTGGAAGGGAAGAGGAACTGTACATGCAGTGGGTTTTGCACCCGTCATATGTGGAGGCAATCTGAGAGTGGGCAACTGGGTGGGGGGGGGGGGGCAATCGCGTGTGAGCTCCTACCCAGGTGGGGGGGTCTTCACAGACAGTGTGGGTGGAATGAAGAGCCGAGTTTGCCAGGAGCCCGGTCAGAGCAACACAGTGATAGACGGAGAGGGGGATGGAGTGATGGAGACAGAGAAGGGGAGAGAGACGGAGGGCAACGGAGAGAGAAGAGACAGGGGAGGAGAGATGGAGAGAAACAGGAGAAGGCAGAGAGAGATGGAGACAGAGGAAGGGAGACATGCAGAAGGGGGTGGGGGAGGAGCGGAGTGGCAGAATTCAGACAGGCAGACAGCTCACCATGAGCTAACATTACCTTCAGGTGGGGGGGGGACGAAGGAGGAAATGTGGGGGTCAATGTAGAAGGCTCCCTCTGCAGTTGCCCCCCCTCCGCCATTGACTGCGAGGGGACTGTAAGTAGGTCTCCTGATTCCTGGGGGGGGGGGGAAATGCCTCCATGCAGCACCTTGCGTCCCTAAGTGGCTGCTGAAGGTCGTGCTGTGCTTCATGCCGCTCTCTCGCCACGGCGGGGGCCGCCGGGGGCGTGGTCCTCCATGACAGGTATGGCGGCCATCACCTGAGTGCATGCGGCCCCTTCGGATCTAAGCTGCTGCACTGTAGGGGGGGGGCATGTCATGCGGACCGGAAGCAGGTCGCTGCGTCTGCTGGGTCACCTTCAGCATCCACCTGAATGTGACGGGGGCCCTTTCGCCATTCCTCCCCTCCCATGTGGATGTTGCACATCTATCTTCCCCATTGGCTCCCACCCGCTTGTGTGGATGCACCTCCATCTGTCTGCGTTTGGCCAGGTGCCCCCCCCCCCCCCCCCCCCCCCCCCCCCCCCCCCCCCCCCCCCCCCCCCCCCAAAAAGCACCGTCATGGTTCTAGATTCCCCAACCCGCTCGCCCCTCCGTCCTGCCTCCCCCTGCACCCCGGCCACACTCTCGTCGTCTTTAATCCCGTCTGTCTCTTGTTCGCCATTACGCCCTGCCTCACTCTCTCCCCTCCCAGCCACATGTAAGTCTCTCTCTACGGCCATGAAAGTGAATCATTGGAGGTGAAGTGCATTGTTTGACTTTGACATGACTAATGTAAGAGGGCGAGTTGAGCGAGCGCGCCGTTCCCGCTGGTATCCAGGCAGCGAGCGGCTGCGCTCCACCGCGCCTCGATCCCTCGGAGCGCCTCCGTGCCTCTTTCTGCCTCAGCCTCGCATACATTTTTCATTGTTCTGCTTTATTTCCTTTCATTACCCAGCCTGAATATTAATTACTTTCCACGTTCCCCTTGATGGCGGTAACGAAGTAAATGGCTCACGCTGCAGCAGATTAATTGGCTACGACCCTCAAGGGGTTTCCAGTCTGCGCTGGAGCCTCGTGGCGGCGCACACACAGCCTATTGGCAGCGGGGAGGCTTTTGGGACTGCGCTCTATGCCCTACTGGTGCCACCTCAAGCTAGTGCCTATGGAAATGACATGGTGTGCCCCCCTCCTCCCCCAGTTATACCAACGACTGCAACCCTTAAATCCAGTTCTTCGCTTATCCACATGCTATTACAGTCTGTGCATTGGGTGACTTATGTCAATTTCATCATCCGTGGCGTTCAGCCGACTTTTTGGACATATACAAGGAAATTGAATAGGTGCTGCCAGTAGGTGGCAGCACTGACTTTCACAGAGCGGAGGTCAAAGAAAAACAGTAGAAGACGAGTAATCGTAGTTATCGACGCTTTCGACGCGATGCTGGTGGGAGGAGCTGCAGAGGTACCTGCATATACATCACTCATCACTGAAGGAGCACAAAGACATATTCAGGTGTATGAATTTTTAGTAATTTTTAGTAAGAAATGGCCCCAAACTCTGGGTGAAGAAGAGAACTCATTCAGACCAAAAAGACATCTGCCCTCTGCTGGTCTGGCGGAATGTCTGTCATGCACCTACTGTGACCGTCTATATACATGGGTGAATGCAGTATGTATACAAGATGTACAGACTGTAACGGTGTGCAGGAAAGTGAAGTGTGAGCTGGACTTTTTGTTCCTCTGAACAGACTGAAGCACGGCCAGTGCTGGCAGAATGGGAGCCGCTACCAAACTGGGGCTTCCATTCCCGTGTGCTGGGTCCCGGGCCGCAGGGTTTTGGGGTTTAATCCCGGGATTTTCCCCCCTCATCTGTGCCAGCAGTTTCCCCGCTGATAGAGGGAGTTTGTCCGCTATCCCCAGTAACTGGCTGTGATTGCAGCAGGGGGACACATGTATCCCCCCTCCTACTGCCAGGCATACAGGAGATTTCGTGCGCGCCCTGCTTCGGTAACGCAGGATAAAATACAGAAAGCTTAGGGCCAGAAACACGAACGTGTCTGTGTATGTGTGAAGACACCTCGTGCCGTGCGAGGCGGCCTACCTGCCTCTCTGTAGCCTAAGCCTGTACCTGCGCGTCTGTGGGAATCCGCCCCAGCTCACCGCTGCCGCTCTCCACGCGCCTCACTGTTTCAAAATATGTACTTCTCTGTGACGGATGGCGGATTAGAGGGCTTCTGCCTGGGCATGCGTTTGATCCAGAGCGTGCTGCCTGCCTGACGTTGATTACAAACGTTCACTGTGAAATAATCACATGTCAGGCAGAATAATCCGCATGCCAGCTCTTGGAACACATGAAGGAGCGGGAGCTTGTGAAGGATGTTACCTTGATAATTAAAAGGAACCTTGAGAATGTCGGCTGTAAGGAAGATAAATGTATGTCTGTAAATGTATGTGTGCGATTTGAAATGTGCTTTAAAAGGTGAAAATTCATTTAATTTTTATTCCTCAGGTTGATCAGTGAAGCTTGATGGAAGGTTTTTTTTTTTTTAATGTTCAGGGAAGCATCACAAAGAGGGATGATGCTCTTATTTATACCTGATTATGGGTCTGAGGTCTCTGGGAAAGGGAGGGGGGCACTCAGCTGGAAAGGGGGGGGTGGCAGGTCAGGCTGTTTGCATCTGTAATCAGACCCAAGAGCGCTTAGTCGTGTTGAGGGGCGATTCAGAGTGGATGGGAGGAGGGATGGGGGTTTGTATACACCTCACCTGATCTGCACCCCCCCCCCCCCAACGCATGAGTGTTTTGTGAGTCTGCCTGATTCCCCCCAGTCTTGAGGGAGAGAGGATAAGAATAAGGAGGACCTGTAATTAAAAATTTAAACACAATTAAACAATAAGCACTTCGCCCACCCCGGGGCTCGCTGGCGCTCAGACCGCCCACCTCCTCTCCACATGCACAGTGGATAACTGGCAGCCTGCGATACGTGGGCACATGCTGCTTGGTGAGCAGGGTCACATGGCCGGGTTCAAAGGTCACCCTGCCAGTGTTTTTAAAGCGACAGCTCCGGCCTTCAGCTTCAGTTCAGATGAGGCTCTGGCTTGTGGTTATGCCATCAATTTCCATCGATGAGGTTTTGGCACTGCAGAGTCTCTCTCAGCCGTGTGCCTGTGCAGCCGTGTGCCTGTGCAGCCGTGTGCCTGTGCAGGTGTTTGCCTGTGCAGCCGTGTGCCTGTGCAGGTGTTTGCCTGTGCAGCCGTGTGCCTGTGCAGCCGTGTGCCTTCCCTCCATGTGACCTCATTTCCATCCTCTTGCCTGATAAGAGCAGATGTACAGTAGCGTTTAGCTAGAGTGCTTTTTCCTTTCTCCTGGGAAACTACTCCCTGTTCCTGTTGCCATTCTGCTTTGCCATGGATGGATTAAGGATTGTAATGTCCTCTCGGCATGGTTCCTGGCTCATCAGAAGGAGGGGCCCGCTGGTTTGGCACAGGGACAGGGCGATCTGGCACATAATCGTGTACTGGTGCTGTCTGCTGGAGGGGGGGGTCAGCGGTGTGATGATCAAAGTGCCATTGGGGACGGAGCCTGACACCCCAGCCGTGAGGGCAGACTCATCCATTTAATGGGTTCCTGCTGATTAGCTTCTTGGCTAAAGGAACAATATCAAGTCTGGCTGTTCAGCGCCGTTTCTGGGAAATTACGCCTGGTGAGGGGGTCTGAGTCAGAGCCCGCCAGCCCGAAACGTCACGCCGGGCACCAGAACGCCATCACGTGAAAACACGGTCACTTGGTCACACCTGAAGTTACGGCAATGGCTGAGGCGCAGAGGTCAGTGCAGGCAGCTCTGTGGCCGGCACTGCGGACGGGGCCTGGCAGGGCGGCGCTATGACAGCGGGGGGCACTGGGAATGACAGGCGTGACCCAGTCCAGCCCTTAGCTGTCGGCACCCTGAGCGCTACCTTGGGGAGACGAGGCCAAGCAGGGCAGAACACAGTCACCCCTGCCCCCCCCCCAATCAAAGACAGCTGGAGGTGGGACGTCTGTGTCCAGTCTGGATCCAGTGTGTGTGTGTCTGTCTGTCTGTGTGTCAGTGTGTCAGTGTGTGTCTGTCTGTCTGTCTGTCTGCCAGTGTGTGGGTGTGTGTGTTGCTGCCAGCATCAGTTCTTCGATGTCTGTATGTCAGTGTGTCTGTCTGTCTCTCTGTCTGTCTGTTGCCTGTCAGTGTGTCTGTCTGTCTGTCTGTCTGTCTGTCAGTGTGTCTGTCAGTGTGTCTGTCTGTCTGTGTGTCTGTCTGTCTGTCTGTCAGTGTGTCTGTCTGTCAGTGTGTCTGTCTGTCTGTCTGTCAGTGTGCCTGTCTGTCTGTCTGTCAGTGTGTCTGTCTGTCTGTATGTCTGTCTGTGTGCCTGTCTGTCTGTCAGTGTGTCTCTCTGTCTGTCTGTCAGTGTGCCTGTCTGTCTGTCTGTCAGTGTGTGCTCACTCAGTGGCTGCAGGGTCCCCTTGCCTTCCTGTTTCTCACCCTGGGCTGCAGTACCGTGATATAGCCAGCAGGGGGAGAGGTGCGGCTATGTGGGCTGATCCTGCTAATGGTGGTACCGGGGACTCCGTTCACCGTGCTTCCCCAGATTGCCGTGTCGCTCCATTTGCTGGCATTTCTCCCTTAAGCCTCCATGATAGTGCTGCCTGAGGGGGATTAGCGTCAGGATGGCTGGGCCCAGGACCCATATGCACACACACAGAAACAGGACTGCCGATGCGAAATCATACAGTAAACACAAAACTACTCTGACACATTGTATCAAAACCATTGACTTATCTTTCACTTAAATTACTGTTATAATACACTGTAGTGGTAATTGGAAATACCAGACAAACACAAATAGATTCAAATCTATTTTAGATTTAAGATTTTATTTATATTCAAATCTATTAAGTTTAATAGAGGAACAAAAACACTCCCCTCAAACAGTGGTCCCTATGGTAACCAATCATATATTGAAGCACCATGATAGTCAACAAACAATCAGGAATTGCCAAAAATGCAGGCTACCGTCAACTATAGCGCTCTGCTACAGCAGACCTTTGGAGAATGTCAAATAAATCGGGAAAGATTTTTCCTCAACATCTTCAGGCAGATTTTTTACTGTTTCTGAGAAGCCGGGTACAAACATAATGACTCTGTATACTGACCCTGAATCAGTTTTTCTGGCCACAACGCTGCATCACCATGATGCTGTTCTGATTTAACCTACTGTCGTGTCTCATCTTCCTCAGTCTGATACTGATGCTCTGCGCTTTCTTCTCCTTCATCTCCTACCTCTACTGACTATAACGTTAGTGGACTTAAGATTTGTTTAAATTTCAACAAGAGAAATTGTAATTTATATAATAATAATAACAACAACAAAACAGCTAATGCTCTCTCTGTCTCTCTGTTCGTTACACACTGAAACGACCTTTTTCACAATGCTGAAGTGGTTTCGCGCTTTAGGGAAATTCCATGAAAGAGGGAGAAAAGATCAATCTGAAAAAACTTGTCCTGGTACCAGTTCTTCCGATGGATAGAGAGATTCTATCCATCGGGATAGAGAGACAGACAGGAGAGGAAGAGAGAGATGAAACCATTTCTTTAATGTAAATATGTAAATCACCCTCACCTTGCTCTTGAAGTGTGAACTTCTGGACTGTTTTGAAGTCCGATCCTATTAATTTTCATGATTTTTCATGATTTTTCTTTCCCCATTTTTTTGTTTTCTGTTTTGAGCTGTCAGGCTGTCAATACTGAAAATGAACTTTGTAACTTTTTTGTAACTAGAATGATGTGTGTTACCTTAATTACGGTCGTCATGGTCGTCATGATTAAATAGGAATGCATGCAAATATAGTAAAAACCTAATTTAAAAATGCTACATTTAAATTATGTCTCGCTATAATTTCTTGTAGAACTTAAGACATAATTTTGCCCCCGCCCCCTCACTGGGTCCAAGAACGGGAAAATAAACCCATTTACCCCCCTTCATGATGGGCCTGCTGGAAGTAGTGTGTCTCACTGGACTCCCTACGTTAACTCCCCCCAGTGTGGAGGTCCACATTTACTGGGCCGTGTCCACCTGACCTTAACTCAGTTACAGGGAATGTTTGGCAGGATACATGTCACTGGGTGTTGACTCGCATCACTCAGCTCTTTGTGGGGGGTGGGGGTCTCGCTCTCCACACTTTGTCTAACCGGGACCCCGGAGGTGACGTTATGCCCCAAAAACCAGGCCGGCTTGGAAGAAGCGGTGCTTTGGCTGGTGACATCCCTCCCCTGTTATCTGGAGTCCTACCAGGACGGGGGCTTTACGGAGCTGTCAGCCACCCAACCTAATGGCCCGTACCTAACCTGTGACCTACTCGCCGAACCTGCAAATCTCGCCTTTTCATCCCTCTCCTCTATCTGTCTGTCTCCCTTTATCTCTCTCTTCTGTGTCTCCTCCTCCTTTCTCTCTTTTTCTCCCCCTCATTCTTTCCCTCCCCCACCCAGGGGTTTCACCCTCCCAGCAGACCTGACCATGTGGGCTGCCCCCAACCCCTGTGTGGTAGTAAGATCCCACTCTCTATCGCTCAGCACCACCACACACTCAACAGATCACTAATAAGCGACCTCGCTCACCCGGGCTTCGCTCATCCTGACCTCACTCACCCCGATGTTGTTTATGCAGTAATAATGCTCGCACGCCTGAAGGTTTTCAGTTTTCCGGTTCATTCCTCACTGAGACGCTGCCATCCCGCCCGGCTGGTGCTGCTTCTCACGTATCACCGGTTCTCCTGTCTCCGCAGGTGTGTGGTCGAGTGATCCAGCAGCAGGACGGCGGTATGGTGGCCACTCTGGACCTCACAGCCCTGGGCCTGTTGGTGGTGCTGTTGGCGGCCACAGCCCCCCTAGGCAGGGCCTGTCCGCAGCGCTGTGACTGTGCTCCCCAGCAGAGGGCAGTGTCGTGCCAGCGACGTCGCCTGACAGCCGTGCCAGAGGGGATCCCCACGGAGACACGAGTGCTGGACTTGAGTCGGAACCGGCTGCGCTGGATGGAGTCCGGCGACTTGGCGCCGTACCCGCTGCTGGAGGAGCTGGACCTGAGTGAGAACACAATTGCCACGCTGGAGCCGAATGCTTTCGCGGGGTTGCGCTCACTGCGGGTGCTGAGGCTCCGTGCCAACCAGCTGCGCCTGGTGCCCGCCGGGGCATTCCTGGGGCTGGCCAACCTGACCGTGCTGGATCTGAGCGAGAACCACATCGTCATCCTGCTTGACTACACCTTCCAGGACTTGCGCAGCCTGCACCTGCTGGAAGTGGGTGACAACGACCTGGTCTACATCTCTCACAAGGCCTTTGTGGGCCTGCTGGGGCTGCAGGACCTGCGCATCGAGCGCTGCAACCTCACTTCTATCTCGGGCCAGTCACTGTCCTACCTGCGCAACCTGGTCACTCTGCGACTGCGCTACCTCAACGTCGCCGCCCTTGAGGACCAGAACTTCCGCAAGCTGTCCAGCCTGCGGGGCCTGGAGATCGACAACTGGCCCTCGCTGGAATATGTCTCCCCTCTCAGCTTCCAGGGCCTCAACCTGTCCTGGCTCTCTATCACTAACACCAACCTCAGCTCTGTGCCCTCCGCCTCCTTCCGCAACCTGGCCCATCTGACTTCCCTAAACCTCTCCTACAACCCCATCTCCACCATCGAGCCCTGGGCCTTCCGCGAGCTGCTGCGGCTGAAGGAGCTCCACCTAGTGGGCTCGGGGCTGTTGTCGGTGGAGCCACACGCGTTGGGCGGCCTGAGGCAGCTGCGCATGCTCAACCTCTCAGGCAACGAGCTGGTGACCCTGGAGGAGCGCGCCTTCCACTCCGTCAACAGCCTGGAGACCCTGCGGGTGGACGGGAACCCGCTGGCCTGCGACTGCCGCCTGCTGTGGATCCTGCAGCGCCGCAAGACTCTCAACTTCGACAGCAGGGTGCCGGTGTGCGCCGGACCGGCCGAGGTGCACGGCACCACGCTGGCCTCCTTCTCGGACTCGGCGCTCTTCGACCACTTCACCTGTCAGAAGCCGCGTATCCGCAACCGCCGGCTGCAGCAGGTGACGGCTCGCGAAGGCCAGCCCGTGTCGTTCGCGTGCCGCGCCGAGGGTGACCCGGCGCCCACCATCGTCTGGATCTCGCCGCAGCGACGCCGCATCACCGTCAAGAGTGGCGGCCGCATGTCGGTGCTGCCCGGCGGCACACTGGAGATCCGCTTCGCCCAGCTCACCGACAGTGGCACCTACATCTGCATCGCCAGCAACGCTGGCGGCAATGACACCTACTTCGCCACGCTGACGGTGAAGAGCCACCCACTGGACTACGGCCTCGTCGCCAACCGTTCCTTCTACACCGCCGATCTCAACGACACCAGCCTGAACGGCACGCGGGTCTTCCTGAAGTTCACGCTGGACCTCACCACCATCCTGGTGTCCACCGCCATGGGCTGCATCACCTTCCTGGGGGTGGTGCTCTTCTGCTTCCTGCTGCTGTTCGTGTGGAGCCGCGGGCGCGGCCAGCGCAAGAACAACTTCACGGTGGAGTACTCCTTCCGGAAGACAGAGACCAATACCACGGGCGGCACCCAAGGAGGGACGCGAAAGTTCAACATGAAGATGATCTGAGGAGCTCGATCCGCGCCAGCTCTGCAAACCCCTTTCTCATCCATGTTTTGGGACAGTCTGCAGGGCTGGTTTTACGGTTTGTGTGTCGGTTGGTGTGCAAGCATTTCCTATCCGCCTGTCTGAATAGACTCTAGCACCTTGCAGATTAGGCTAAGAACTCGTTTTTTTACATTAATAGTGTGCTTGTTATCATTCTCTTCAACATTGTCACTGTCTGTCTTGAGAGCCACTTTTCCCATCTGGATGGGCTACCATCGATAATCCTTCACGCGCCCCCTTCTGGACTGAAGAAGAAAAGGCAGAAGTGTGACCTTTTTATTTTAGCAGTCGCCCGAATCCGTGGTCTGCAGTGATCAGAGCGTCTGTGCCCTGTGAGACCCTCATGCCCTGTGGTCTCTCCTGAAATCACACCACTGCCATTAGCGGGCACTAATGCATTAATAAAGGCTCGGGAAAGTAATAAAAAGAATTCTTTAAAAATAGCCTTTTCATTAGAAGACATCTGTTTAAATATAAATTTTTTCTTATATAAAGAATACCTTGCTTTATATGTTACATGAAACTGATGTATTATCTTGTCCCTCTACAAAATTAATCTGCAATTATTATTCTTACAGTTTCAGTTGCCCTTTCTTGAGGTGGGGAAAGTCAAAGTAAATAGCAATGCCCCCCCCAGTCAGATATATGTTCAGCCACTGCCCCCTGGTGGCAGTTCAGGAGACTGCCTCATGGCTTTTGTGGTCCTCAAGGCTGGATCCCGTACAGTAATAAACATGAATTCTACTGTGAAAACAGCAGGATTAAACCTGCTGCACCACATTCTTAGCTACGAACTCTGCCGCTGTCCATCCATGCTGTTCACCCGGCTGTCCATCTAGCTCAGCCTAAGCACATTCAGTTTTGCTGTTCTTGTGGTTCGAACCGTTCTGAAAATTGAGAAGTCACACGTTTCCACCCCCTACGTTTCAGAAGTGATATCCATAAAAGATGGAATTTCGTGTCTATTTCTAATAAGCATACGTGTGCAGCTCAGAGATGACGCTGCTTGGACAGGAGGGCAGACTTCACTATGCATGCCTTTAAATCCTGATCTTGCCAAACACACGTGTGCTGTGGCCCTTTGGCCAGGCTCAGGCTGCCATTGAGAGCCAGCAGCAGCCAGTCTGGGTAACAAAGCCAGGCAATAAGACCTTCATCTGTGCAGCATCTCTGTTTTTTTACACCCAAAGTTTTATACAGAACAATAATAAGAATAATTCCCAGTGTCCCAGGGACTGCTGGCTCATTTTTCATTTTTATCGCGATCGCAAACTGACCTTTGTACAGAGGAATCCTTCCTGGTGTTTTGTGATTCCTGCTCTCCTTTCGATGGCTTTTCTTTTATGAATCTCGAAGCAGCTTTTATTTCTAGTGTCTTGCAGAGTGATGTGGGAAGGTTTGGCTCGGAATGGGCCGGGCCCCTTCCTGGGTCCCCAAAACGGTTGGACAAGAAGGTGCCAGGAACGCACGAAAGCCCCCTGTGCACCAAACCTGCCCAGCTCCCCGTGAAGCATGTCCTGCCCTACAGTCACGCCTTTCTGGTGCTGTCCACCAGGGGGCGCCTGTCTCACACTTCTGCCAGTTGTCTGCAGGGTCCCCCTTTATTTGGTAGCTTTGTATGTTGAATTATGTCGTTCATCCTGCCGATCAGGATGGACCTGAAAGACCTAGGAAAGGGTGACGTGGCCCCCCTGCACCCCGGCCTCCAGCTGGTTCTTAATCAGAGCAGGTGTCTTAAAACCCAAAAGCCAGAGCCAGATGATACGGCTGAGGGCCAGAAAGTTCCACTGAGTGCCCCCTAAAGACCCGGTCCATGGGTAACCGTGGTACCAGGAGGGGGAGGGGTACAGTTTCTTGCGCTCAAAGTAGACCATGTATATATATAAAAAAACACAACCTTGATGATGGAGGTTGAGGACACAGACCTGAATTCTGAAGGTTCCTGGCTGAACTTGGAGGAACAGTAAGATACTTGCTAGAGGGGGATCGAGTTCTGTGTCACGCAGTGTGAGCGCGGGTATGTGGAGTGACATTTTGTGCATAATGAAGTCTATGCTTACAGTCAGTAATGAAAAACGTGGTCAGTAGGATTGGAGATCCATTTTGGGTTTTATCAAAAAAAAAAAAAAGCACTGAAACTGCAGTTTTCTGGAATGTTCTGATCCACACATGGGCAAACCCAGTTCTCAGCCCACTCCCCAATTTTATTTTACTCCGAGAGGACAGGGGTATGTTTGTAGTACGTTTTGAATATTTTTATTCCTGTTTGTTTTATACACTGTTTGTCTTGTACGAGAATGTCTTTGATTTATAAAAGCCTGTGACGCCTCCGGGTCTTTCTGCCTACTTTCTTTGCCGGCCTTGAATGAGTCGTGAAATGCTGCAGATGTGCTGCTGTTCCCCTCCGGTACACTAGATGGCGCTCCTGGCCCTCGAAGCTCAGGTACTCCACAAGTATGTCACTGAAGTGTTCACACGACCTGTGTCGTGTTGGTGAGCCTTCCTTCCTTCCACAAAAATACATTTCCCATTAACACACTGCAGTAATTACAAATACTCACAGCACGAGGGCTTGTTGGCCAATCACATAATGATAAATGTAACACAAACTGGTAATTGTATTTTATTAGGGGAGGGGCAATTAGTTATAGGGTCTCTGTGTCCCAGTTCTGCAAGGAACCCTGCAGTGACAATGGGCCCCATTTGTATCTGCGATGGATGCAACTGATCAAAGCAGCCTTTAATCACAGTAATTAACCACAAATAGGATGTTACCATTTCAGTTAAGGAGGTATGGGCATTAGCTGACCCACAAAATGCATGACAATAACATTCTGTGATTGGACACATACCCCTGTGGACATACCCCTATGGACAGGTGGTGTGTGAGGTCGCACCCCTGCAGACAAGTACTGTGTGAGGTCGCACCCCTGCAGACAAGTACTGTGTGAGGTCGCACCCCTGTGGACAAGTACTGTGTGAGGTCACATCCCTAAAGGCCACCAGGACACACTACTACAGGGTTTCCCATTTCCGGTCCTGGAGGGCCAGAATTCAACACAGCTTGCAGATTTCCTTAGTTAATTAAAATGTGTTTGAGCAGGGAAATCTGCAGACTTTGCTGGATTCCGGTCCCCCAGGACTGGAATTGGGGAATGCTGAGATACTAGCGGACGTCCTATTTCCATTCATCATGCTGGTTTCATTTTGAACAATCTTATTTGGGATCAAAAGCAGCAGGCTGGAATCACATATATCCACACAATAGGCACTTTTATCACTATCCAGGACAAGCTTTTGCTTGGTTTAGTGATTCTGAAAAGGTGTTTTACTCTATTTGGCAGATGTACAAAATGCTTCACAGTGGTGGGAGGGTGGCCGCGGGGGCGGGGGTAAGGGGGGGGGGGGTTGTGAACACGATGTAGTGATGTCAGTGTTGTGATAATATGCTGAACTAGGAAGATCAGATCTGCTCGATCCAGTTCAGGAACAATTCATTCAAATATGTCTGTCACTGATCAGGAAAGGCAATGGCGTGGACACCAATAACAGACTCAGAAGGAAAATATACCCGCCTTTGAGTAATGATGCAAAAAACAATGAGCATTTATTATTGTGTTTGATCTTAAATCATTTACACATTGTGAAATGTGAAGGAAAGATACATTTGCAGTAGTGTCACTTTGATAAACTGGTAACATTTTCCCTTTAAGACCGCGAACCCACTATGAGCTTCTGCAGATCTGCGCGAACTTTTGTTTGCTTTTGGTAACCTGCGCCACCCTGTGGTAGAATTTATGAAGTTCACCATGAACTTTGTTCCTGCGATATTAGATGCCACCAGGTTATTAATATGAATGAATATACGTATGAGTGTGCAGTACATTAATAATCCATGAGGGAGAATTTAATGTAAAAGTAATTTAATGTAAATCTGTTGTGTAAAATGAAAAGTATAGTAATCAGCATACTTACCTGAAATATGAGCATAAGTCAGTTTTTTTTTTTACTGGATTATTTATTGAATTTTCAAAACACGCAAATTACTCATATGATTTTTTTAGTGTATATTTACTGTTAGTTATTACTCAGTTCTTTCCTTCCAATGTTCTCTACAGACTGTACATGTTCCTCTGTAATCTGGAGAGGGGGGAGCTTCCCGGAGCGTGTGCTGGGACTCTTACTGCAGGCAGGGTAACTCACACGTGGGACTGGCTCTGCAAGGCCACCACACATTTTCTATCCGGGATCTTTGGTTTCAGCTCTGTCACACCAGCCAGAGTAGGAAAGCTTCTCCTGATCTGCACCAATCTTAGAATATCTTCCTCCTTGCTGTGTTTTCCTATTTACCCCCTTTTAGCCTCTAACCTCAGCCAGAAGGGATACAGTGGGGCAGGAACCCCGGTGGGGCGACACATGGGCACAATGGGGCAGGAACCCCGGTGGGGCGACACATGGACACAATGGGGCAGGAACCCCGGTGGGGTGACACATGGACACAATGGGGCAGGAACCCTGGTGGGGCGACACATGGACACAATGGGGCAGGAACCCCGGCGGAATGGAACATGAACACAATGGGGCAGGAACCCCGGCGGGGCGATGCATGGACACAGTGGGGCAGGAACCCTGGCGGGGCGACACATGGGCACAATGGGGCAGGAACCCCGGTGGGGCGACACATGGACACAATGGGGCAGGAACCCTGGCGGGGCGACACATGGGCACAATTGGGCAGGAACCCCGGTGGGGCGACACATGGACACAATGGGGCAGGAACCCCGGCGGGGTGACACATGGACACAATGGGGCAGGAACCCCGGCGGAATGGAACATGAACACAATGGGGCAGGAACCCCGGCGGGGCGACGCATGGACACAGTGGGGCAGGAACCCTGGTGGGGCGACGCATGGACACAGTGGGACGGGAACCCCGGCGGGGCGACGCATGGACAAAGTGGGGCAGGAACCCAGACGGGGCAATGCATGGACACAATGGGGAAGGAACCCCGGCGGTGCAACGCATGGACACAATGGGGCAGGAACCCCAGCGGGGCGACGCATGGACACAATGGGGCAAGAACCCCAGCGGGGCGACGCATGGACACAATGGGGCAGGAACCCTGGTGGGGCAGGGCATGGACACAATGGGATGGTAGGCAGAGAGTTCAGAAGTCTGCTTTGGGATTGGAGTGGATCAGTGTGCATGGAACTTCAGAGTAAAGCTATCAGCAAAGGGTAGATGATCCACAGGTACTATCCAGAAAGGGCCATTGCATATGCTGGTTTTTGCTGCAACTCCCTAGTTAGATCACTAATTGGAGGGGACTGGTTGGCTAAAGAGTTCTCACACCTGGGTTAGAACAGATGACCTACAGGTTATCCCAAAAATATGCATAGACACTGGCTCTTTGAGGATAAGATTGGCCACCCCTGCCATTAGCTAATGAGGAAATAAGGAGAGCAGTAATGAGAATAACCATGAAGAAATGAGGAGGACAGCACTGATGACTGTGGTGCTAGAGACCACATTACAGAGGATACTGAAATTGGTAAAGATGGTTCTGAGGACATTGATTTGGGGGTTACAATGAAGGAAAGGACACCGAGGACACTGCATTGTGGGAAATTGAGTGTTAATGAGATCAGGTGGACAATGTCAGTGAGGATGATTGGGCCAGTAGCAGCAGTGAATTAACCACATGAGCGTGCTGTAGGTTTTAGTTGTAGGGGTCAGATTCTAGACTGTAACCCAGCAGGAGACATTTGAGGCCCTGGGGGAGGTTTGCATAGGTTTCTGTGCAAGAAGGAAGTGGAAAAAGTAACTGGGATTAAGCAACTGCCACCTACTAGATCAGTGCTTCTCAAGCCGGTCCTCAGGGACCACCAGACAATCCACGTTTTTATGTGCACTGTCTGGCAGGGAGCTGGGAGAGAGCAAAAGCACGAACCGTCTGTGGGTCCCTGAGGATTGGATTGGGAAACACTACGCTAGGGGGCGCTGTCTAGACTTTTTCTCTATGTGATTGATGCTGATTGCCTCTCAGGAGGGTGGCAGTCTGGATAAAAGGGTGTCTGCATGGTTTCCTGCCAGTAAAACACATCGGTTGACAGCCTTGGGAAGCTCCCCTCCCCTCCTCTCACCTGAGCCATTCCGTCTCGCTCCACAGTCCATTGGAAACTGATTGTCTTCTACCATCACAAAGACACTTGGTTCTGATTGATTGACAGGTAGCAGAGGAAGGGGAGGACCTTGGGACTGGGGTTCGAGCTTCGCCTTTCTCAAGTCAGACCTGTTGCTAAGTTACAGAAGAAGAACATGCGTTTGCTGTCCAGCAGTGAATGGAGATGACTGCTGGTTGGAGGAGTCAGGTCAACTTTGCTCTGGTGATGTTCAGCATAAAAGCACATAATAGATTTTATATAAAGAGATAGAGATCAAACGAAACAGAGAAACTGACATTGTACAATAAAATGCCGACTTTAGCCCTCAATGCCACCCCATCCCCCCACCCGCCCACTCTGAATACAGTGCCCCCTACTGTCAGGGTTTGAATACACACAAAAAGAATCTCGAGAGGAACAACCTTGCAATCTGGAAAAAGTATACCAAGAACCTAGACCCCTCCAACTGGTCCAGGCTTCTCCCCGCCAGTCTCTGTCCTGTCCCCTCTCTCCATTTCACCACAAATAACAGCTCATTCCTGAAAGATTCTATACACTTATACAATATCCATGCATAAATAAAAAAGGCAGCGTCCCCCTGCTACTCCGAAGAGACGCTCGGGTTTTGTTTTCCCTTTAATAACACCAGGAACACTGGAACACGCACGAGAAACACAGTTTGAACAAAATCTGCACTTTCTTTGGGAGAGAAGAAAAACAAACATGAAGACAAAAAGCAACAGAGAAGACTCTGTCAGCGTACATTTTGGGTTTTCAGCTGCCAAATCCCACCTTTCCCGATCTTGTCACCCTTTCAGCTCACCCTTACGCCCCCCCATAAAGGGGCGGCCAGCATTCTTTCGGACCCTTGTGATCCGTCCTCCCCCCGCTTTTTCGTTCTCCACCTCCACCCATCAAGACTTCGGTCTTTCACAGAAACAATGAGGGAGTCTTTCATTAAAAAAAAACAAAAAACAAAAAAAAAACAATATATAAATAAATAAAACATCACGAGTACATGCTGTCGTGATGAAACAGAACAAAAGCTAAACAATTCAGTCATGATTTAATCGTAAAAAGTCACAAGATCCAAAACTAACTATTATTCATAGTACTATCATCATCTTCATCATCATCATCGTTAGTTAATACTGTCATTATTT